AGAATTACCTGATGACACTTTATGATATAATCACCTCACTTTTAGAATTATCGGATGACACTTTATGATATAATCACCTCACTCTTAGAATTATCGGATGACACTTTATGATATAATCTCCTCACTGTTAGAATTACCTGATGACACTTTATGATATAATCTCCTCACTGTTAGAATTACCTGAGGACACTTTATGATATAATCTCCTCACTGTTAGAATTACCTGATGACACTTTATGATATAATCACCTCACTTTTAGAATTATCGGATGACACTTTATGATATAATCTCCTCACTGTTAGAATTACCTGATGACACTTTATGATATAATCTCCTCACTGTTAGAATTACCTGAGGACACTTTATGATATAATCACCTCGCTGTTAGAATTATCTGATGATACTTTATGGTATAACCGACTCACTGTAATATTTACCTGATAACACTTTATGATATAATATCCTCACTGTAACATTTACCTGATGACACTTTATGATATAATCTCATCACTGTAACATTTATCATAAAGTATCATCAGGTTAATGTTACAGTGATGGGATTATATCATAAAGTGTCATCAGGTAAATGTTACAGTGAGGATATTATATCATAAAGTATCATCAGATAATTCTAACAGTGAGGAGATTATATCATAAAGTGTTATCAGATAATTCTAACAGTGAGGAGATTCTATCATAAAGTGTTATCAGGTAAATACTACAGTGAGTCGGTTATACCATAAAGTATCATCAAGGATAATCGCCTCAATGTAATATTTATCTTGTGATACTTTATGAGATATTATCTTCGTTGTAACATTTGCCTGATGATACTTTATGGTATAACTAACTCACTCTAACATTTACCTGAAATGAGTTTATGATATAATCTCCTCACTGTTAGAATTATCTGATGATACTTTATGATATAATCTCCTCACTGTTAGAATTATCTGATGATACATTATGGTATAACCAACTCACTGTATTATTTACCTGATAACACTTTATGATATAATATCCTCACTGTAACATTTGCCTGATGATACTTTATGGTATAACTAACTCACTCTAACATTTACCTGAAATGAGTTTATGATATAATCGCCTCACTCTGGCATTTACATGAAAATACTTTATGAAATAACCTCTAAGATTGTTCCACTTGCAGTGCCAAGAAAGGATGTGGAATTTGAATCACTAAAGCACTTGTAAATTGGTCTTTCTACAAGCTGGCCTCATTGAAAATTCATTAAGTCACACTTCTTTGCCATGTTGCTTGAAGTCTAACGTGAAATAGAGCTTACACGTGTTTAAATAGGAGTAACAAAGTAATCAGTCAGCTAGGGATTTAGTCTATTTAACATCTGGGTGTTTCTATTTTTTTCCCCAACTCCCGTAGTTTTGCACAAACAAGCAAGAAAAATCGTACACAAATTATTACAGCGTTTGGATATATTATACCACAAATGTATTTGAACACGTCCACAAATTAAAATATTTATTTCATTGTGTATTAATGACAGTAAGGGAAGAGGGCATCAATCCGGAATGTTTCATTAATTTTTGGTTTTATTTTCTGAAGATGTATATTAAAATATTTTTTTATGTAGTAAACAGTTTTATAAGTCCTACAGCCCACGTTGGTTCAGCGGTAAATCTAAAGGCTTATAACGATAAAAAACCGGGTTTCGATGCTTTCGGTGGGCAGATCACAGATAGCCCACTTTGAAGCTTCAGGCTTAACAACAAACAAAGACAATAGTTGACTGGTAAGAGTTTTATGTTAAAATATCGGTTTTTGATCGCAGGGACAACTACAAGTTGAACAGTAAATATTTTGTCATGCACCCAACAGTGAAAGCGTTATTGTAATAACAAAACCAAAACTAAACACTTTCATACAAGAGACTTACGGTCATATCTAGAAAATAAAAAACGAATGTGGAGCATCACAGTTACTATCTTCCAACTAGACAATTTGATCGTTAACAGGAAAGCAATAAAATGTACAATGAGCTATGTGCGCCGACTCTGCTGCCGGGATAGAACCCCGAGTTTTTACTTTATAAGCCACTGGAAGGGGAACACCAATAAAGTTAAGCCAATACATTGAACAGTCTGCTTTTTTAGGTGGAGCTAAACTGGGGATTTTCGAGTTAAGTAATATAACTAATTTTATTGTAGTAATTATTTTTTTTTTCTGTACATTACGTCCGACTAATGACAAATATAATATACGTTATTAACTTCTTAACAAGCGAATTGATTTGATTATATATATACCTATTTCCATTATTTAGTCTAAAAGTACAGAATTTCATGCAAACTGACTTTTTTCTCACTTGCTCTGTTCATTTTACAAATGCTAACATACATGTGTGTGTGTGTGAGAGAGAGAGAGAGAGAATCGAAAATTAGCCTATTGTGTTATTTGTAATTCTTTATAGAAACTTAATCTGTAAATATCGAACTCAATAAATAACAGTGCTGTCTTAATGAACTTAGTATGGCAATGAAACTCTCGAAAGTAAGTTCCACAATTATCTATCACGAAAAACCGTTCTTAGCATTCGGCTTAATTATAGAGCTTCGCTGTTGGTTATTTTTAGTTCCTAATGCTGACGCGGTATATTACGTCTTCTTTCTCCTGGTGTTTTCATATGTAAAATTAATTATTGTATTTGGGTGTGTTTTAATGCTTGATATATATATATATATATACCAACTGCACATTTGGCGTACAAGTGAATGTAACATTAGAACTATGCACATGTAGAAAATTAAAATATTAGTTATATCTTGATATTAGCAAAGAGCAAGAACGGGCATTTAATCAAAAACTTGTGTCAGAAATTGAATTATATAGAGTCTTGACTAGTTGCTCCATTAATTAATTATTGTGTGTGTTTCACGTTTTTAATTCCATTACAAATATTAACATGTCAGGAATGGAAAAAAAAAGTCACCCAGTCTCATGAGACGATATAGCTAAAAGTTTATCTGTTACAATACAGCAACTGTTTTCAAAAATGCTCTTGGTACTCGAGAGAAAGTGTTTCCTGATTAATGTCAAGGTTGACAAATCCATATCACAGTAGTCATGGCAACTTCACTGTTGCCACGAGACAGTGATACTGGGTGATGGAAAAGAAGCGTTTACTGTTTTCTATAACCTAAGTTCCAGTGAAACTTACAAAAGAAATTCTCAGTCCACTGTTACTTAAAGTATATTGAGTCATTAACCATTCTTACTGGGAGTATACTGAGTCGTTCACGTATTTTCAGTCCATTGTCACTGGGAGTATACTGAGCCGTTCACGTATTCTCAGTCCATTGTTACTGCGAATATACTGAGTCGTTAACGTATTATCAGTCCATTGTTATTGCGAATATACTGAGCCGTTGACATATTCTCAGTCCATTGCCACTGGGAGTATACTGAGTCGTTCATGTATTCTCAGTCCATTGTTACTGCGAATATACTGAGTCGTTGACGTATTATCAGTCCGTTGTTACTGCGAATATACTGAGTCGTTCACGTATTCTCAGTCCATTGTCACTGGGAGTATACTGAATCTTTAACGTATTATCAGTTCATTGTTACTAGTAGTATATTATGCCGTTCATGTATTCTCAGTCCATTGTTACTGCGAATATACTGAGTCGTTGACGTATTCTCAGTCCATTGTTACTGAGAATATACTGAGCCGTTCACGTGTTCTCAGTCCATTGTCACTGGGAGTATACTGAGTCGTTCATGTATTCTCAGTCCATTGTTACTGCGAATATACTGAGTCGTTGACGTATTATCAGTCCGTTGTTACTGCGGATATAGTGAGTCGTTAACGTATTATCAGTTCATTGTGACTAGTAGTATATTATGTCGTTCATGTATTCTCAGTCCATTGTTACTGCGAATATACTGAGTCGTTGACGTATTCTGAGTCCATTGTCACTTGGAGTATACTGAGCCGTTCACGTATTCTCAGTCCATTGTCACTGGGAGTATACTGAGTCGTCGTGTATTCTCAATCCATTGTTACTGCGGATATAGTGAGTCGTTAACGTATTATCAGTCCATTGTCACTGGGAGTATACTGAATCTTTAACGTATTATCAGTTCATTGTTACTAGTAGTATATTATGTCGTGTAATTATTCTCAGTCCATTGTTACTGCGAATATACTGAGTCGTTGACGTATTATCAGTCCATTGTTACTGCGAATATACTGAGTCGTTGACGTATTATCAGTCCATTGTTACTGCGAATATAATGATTTGTTTTGTAATCTTCCCGCATTTGAAACGGGAAACGAACCCGTTATGGAGGGAAAACTTTTCTGCAGCATCCATAATAATCATTGTTACAAATATATTAAATTGTTTAGAAAAAATCGCTATCCGCACAATGTAAATAACGCTCATTCGAACCGAGACCAAAGCTCTGCAGATTAACCTTAAAAAGTGAGCAGAACAGGCTGGTTATTTATTCAGAACGTTTCAGAAGTTTTGTCCCCTTCATTTTCTCTTAATATTTAAATTTTCTGATAAAAATGAAGACTACAATTAACTACAATAGACTGATGTGTACACCTGATCAGAAGTTCATATATCCTATAACTGAACATATAGACTGATGTGTACACCTGATCAGAAGTTCATATATCCTATAACTGAACATGTAGACTGATTTGTACACCTGATCAGAAGTTCATATATCCTATAACTGAACATATAGACTGATGTGTACACCTGATCAGAAGTTCATATATCCTATAACTGAACATATAGACTGATGTGTACACCTGATCAGAAGTTCATATATCCTATAACGGATAAATTAAGACCAGATGTACACTCTAAAAAGTTCACAGAGACGTTCAACAAAAAATACTATAGTTCATTCACATAGTTAGTTAAATATATCACATAAAACTGTGCAGACAAACTGAATGATTGGTCCCTGTTCGAATGATATGAAAAGCTAACTAATGACTATTTTATTTATTTTTTTGTCATCAAAGACATTTTAAGCACCAAACCTCTTGTTTTTACAAGTCATTTGTTAAACACAGTAAAGCTAACCTACGTAGGTTTTGTGTAAAGCGTAACATATAACTTTTAGTTGGAAATTGGTTCATAGTCTTCTTCGGTATAAACAGGAAGAAATTCAACAATACATAAACATATAAACGGTAGAAGAATTTGATCAACATCGCTGTTTTGGTATATAATACCAGGAAAGACAGCATAAAGCTTATTAGTAGTAATAAAATACCATCTTAACACCTGTAAAGCCAAATGTTTAAGAAGTAAGTTCATTAGAATTATAAATATTTTATGCTAAAGCAAAAAAAAAGCCGAATACTATTTCACAAAAAAATAGGTCAATTAGCGTCTGCGCAGTAACCATTGAACGACAGCTTCCACTCTGTGTATTATACGGCAACAGCCTTTTCTCTATAAATATTCTATAAGCTCAAATACGTATAATGTATAAAATCGTAATTATCACAAGTAGCTTAAAGTACATTGGACGTTTAAAAAGCATGAGTATCAAGGAAGTATCTAGTTTTTGAGGAGCTGTGTAAATAGGTGAGTATTTATAAGTTAAGATTCTGTTGCCCTCAATTGTTCTACTAGACCTATTACGTATACGTTGAGCTAGTCTTGGAATATCTGAAAAAATCACGCAACTTTTGAAAAAAAATCCACTTTGTTGGTCTGTTGTCAGGCCACCTTCATGGACAAAGATACTCGTAAGGGAGATAACATCGATATAACGTTCTGCAAGGGTATCTATCGCAACATTTTGTAACAAACTAAGAGTATGAAAAGTAAATTATGACGAAATTTAGCCAGCGGTGGTGCCGAGTTACATTTGTCACTTTCACAAAAGCACATGAAACCGGTGTAGTCTGATTCACTCATGCACACGTGGTCGACGAGAAATAGGTTTATGCTGAGCTTGGATGTGCACGTCCTCTGGATAATCTCTTGAGCTGAAAAAATACGAGGGAAGGAAACGAAATATAATCACAAAAACAAATCTTAAATACACGATATAAGAGTTATGAGGAAATAAACATGAGATATAAATACGTGGAACATTTATTACTTTAATAAAGAAGAAAAAAAGTTTGAGAAATAATTACAAAATACCAAACTTCAGTTAGAGAATTAGATTTTTTTTATTTCATTTTCTATAACACGTTCGTTTAGCGACGTACATTTGCCTCAGTTATCTGTTTCATAATCCAGTTTTTGCTAAGGTACTTCTTTTTCGTCGATACTAAAAAAAAAAACACATTAAATATCGCAATAATTTTAACTGACAAAAAAAGGTGGATGTGCTTAATTTGTGATAGATTCTTTTAGTGTTTTTGACCATGTGGAAGTTTCAGTTGTTAATAAAAAAAAACACGTGCCTTACCATCAAGTGGTAAAGGGCTAACAAAACCATTTCTGCTATAAAAATTCCCGTGCGTATTTCTAGAGGCTTATGAAGGATAACTTTGTTATTTTCAATAAGATGAATTGATTTATATTTCACGAACTCTTCTTCAGTGATTGCTTTCTCTATCAATGCTTTTCTACCACTTGGGCCCGGCATGGCCAGGTGGTTAGGGCGCTCGACTCGCAATCTGAGGGTCGCGGGTTCGAATTTCCGTCCCATCAAACATGCTCGCCCTTTCAGCCGTACGGGCGTTATAAAAGTAATGGTCAATGCCACTATTCGTTGATAAAAAGAGTAGCCCAAGGGTTGGCGGTGGGTGGTGATGACTAGCTGCCTTTCCTCTAGTCTTTCACTGCTTAATTAGGGACGGCTAGCGCAGATAGACCTAGCGTAGCTTTGCGCGAAATTCAAAAACACACAAACAACAATCTTTTTTTCTTATTTTTTTAAATTCAAAACTACACGATGGGCTCGCTGTACTTTGCACGAAATTCAAAGAAAACCAAACCAAAAACAATTCTACCACTTGTTTGTTCTCGTTCCCAAGCTCCTATCGCTCATGCTGTCTTAAAAACTTGAATATTTGTATAATCATATTGGAGACAATGATGCGACTTTTCTTGTAACCACCAGTTACTCAAAAGTATTAGAAGCTGTAATTTCAGAATAGACGCTCTTTTAGGAAATTTCACAAAGTGCCCATTCTGCTGACAAGGGACCCAAAACTTTTTTAAAGTAGTATGATCACTGAGAATAAATCAGTTTGGAGCTGTTACACCTCTATAGAGGTGACACCTGAATGGAACACCTAATAATGAAGAAGTAAAAAAAAAGAAACAAATAAATCGTTACAGTATTGTTTGTTTGTTTTGAATTTCACTCAACCTGCGCTAGCCGTCCCTAATTTAGCAGCCTAAGACTGCAGGGAAGGCAGCTAGTCATCACCACCCACCGCGAACTCTTGGGTTACTCTTTTACCAGCGAATAATGGGATTGGCCGTCACATTATAACACCCCCACGGCTGAAAGGGCGAGGATGTTTGGTGGGACGGGAATTCGTACCTGCGACCCTCAGATTGCGAGTCGAGCGCCCTAACCACCTGGCCATGTCAGGCCTCGTTATAGTATTACAAGTTTTAAGGTACTGAAGTTCTTTTGACATAAAAACTAACTAACTAAAATCGACGTTACGTGGCGCACAAAATATCATTAATTTGCAAATTTTGGAATATAAATAGAAACCGGATTATATATCGATTTCAAATTTTTATGTAATCGATAACAGAGAAGAGACATCATAAATTATCATTAAAAATAAGTAGATAGTACACACGTACTTTGGTAAAAATGCCTGAGAAGTTTATGGATTCAGGAGAATCTTCTGAGTAGACGTGTGGAATTTAAGAAAAAGGAGCACAGCTATAGCATCAGGGGGTGCAACTATCTCCTGAACCCACCAGGAAAGTTGTAGTTTCTTATTGCGGGAGGTGTGGGGGGGGGGCAAGATCTCGGACCTCTAAGTATCTTGATGTGGCGTTGGACAACAGACTAAAAAACTGTAATAGGTGTGACCTCTACAACCAAAACATTTTATATGCGAAGAAATCTATAGTTCCTTGTGACCCATAACATGTGTATGAAAGCATATCCGAAATATCACATTTCATTTTGTTATTATAATTAGCAGGGGCCCAGCCATGCGACTGGGTACTCAAGTAGGTCTGGGCATCCGTTTTTGTGCCCAGATTCTAGGTAAAAATCATCTTGGGAAACATTAAAGACATAATACCTCTGTGATTAAGTTTCAACTATTTTTAAGATAAGTCAGGGAGAAACATATCAACTAATTCGTCCGAGTTAACTGAGGAAAATATCAACAACTGCTATTATTGGTCTATGGCATGCAGTCTTTGCATGTTTACGAACGAAAGTTTAACAGAACAAGTGAAAATGTCAGAAAATAGGCTAAAGCTTAAAGCAAAAGTGATTTTAAACATTTTCTTACAATAGGAGATGAATAGACAAATTTTATCGTCTATGGTCTTCAATGACGTAATGGAAAACATTCTTTTTTTTTCTTTTTTGCTGATGAGCAACTTTAACAAAGTAAGCAAATCACAGCGCCAATGACAGGGGGGGGGGGAATAAATTATCTCAGAAATTTCTTCCGTCCTGACAAA